GACGGTGGGATATGACCAGTAAGGTTGTTATGAGAAAGATTAAGCCCTTTGAGAGAACTAAGCTTTCCAATAACATCTGGAATTTCTCCCTCAAACATGTTATTTGAGAGATGAATACTACTGAATACGGTCAAGATTCCCTGCAGCTCATACTCGAATCCCTTCCATGTCACAACCAGTGAATATTGATAAGAATTCGTTGGCGCCTTCATGTATTCAGGGGAACCATCCTCTCCATGAGGTTCCATCATTGCTTTAAAATTTTCCATGTACCGAAGAGGCAAAGGACCAAGAAAATCATTGCTGGAGAGGTCCAGAACTCGTAACTTGGGAAAAGATGGACTTTCTTTGGTGCTCTGCACAAAACCGTGGAACTTGTTGGACCTTAAGACAAGCACTTGAAGCTCTGGTAGAGATTCCAACCAATGAGGAAATGTATCCTCTATGCTGTTGTTGCCAACGTCTAGAACCTCTAACATGCTACAATTCACCAAAGACCTTGGTAATAACCCGTCCATTTGATTTCCATGTAAGTTGAGATTTCGTAATTCACAGCCCTCTGGAAACCCAAATGGTATATTTCCATCAAAGTAATTGGCCTGCAAATTCAACACTAAGAGAAACTTAAGAAGACAATTTGGAATCTTCCCGATTAAATTGTTATGAGAAAGGTCAAGAACTTGGATATCATCCTTTTCACATATCCATTCGGGAATATTTCCATGAATGCTATTTTTGGATAGCACTAGGCTTTGCAGACCATTTGAATGTCTTATGAAATTGGGGAATTCACTCAAGTTACAAGAAGAAAAGGAGACATCAGTTAGTTTGGGTAATGTGAAGTTGGCATTGACATTCATTCTCAAGGACAGATTAATGTCTGAAAGAAAGATGGTTTCCAGATTTTGAAGCACTGAGAACATGTCAAGTTCTACTAAACCAGTAAAAAGATTTGATGATAAACCAAGATAATTAAGATTTACTAAATTAGCAATTGAGTTAGGAATTGAGCCCTGGAGTTTATTGTTTGACAAATCTAGGAGTGTGAGTGAGTTTTGCTGGAATTGAATTATTTGACCTTGAAATTGGTTATGATTGAGATACAAGTACTCTAACAAAGGTAGGGTGAAAATCCAAGGTGGCAACGTGCCGTTAAGTAAGTTATAAGATAAGTCTAGAATGCTTAGTTTGGAAAACCTACTTGCATGAAAAGGAATGGGACCAGAAAACTGATTATTTGAAAGGCCAAGAAAGGTAAGTTGTGTGAGGTTTGCAAGTGATGATGGGATTTGTCCGTTAAAATTGTTAGAAGAGAGGCTTAGGTCAATTAGTTGAGATAAGTTACCTATGGAAGCTGGAATGGGACCAGAAAACTGACTATCGAAAAGGTAAAGAGAGGTAAGTTGCCTTAAGTTACCTATGGAAGCTGGAA